ATTTTATTAACTTCACTTAATATGAGCTTCTACTTCTCTTCAAGTGTGTCATCTGATTTTTAAAATGGATACTAACGAAACTGTAAATGAAGTCTACTTTTATAATGATTAAGTTAAATTATGAAGAATTAATTTGAGAGTGAAAAAATTAGATTTAACTTAATTTGAGAGACTACCAGTTGTTTCCATTGCAAGTGGATCAAAACAAGGGAAGAAAAAAAGGGATCAAAACAAGGGAAGGAAGAGAAGCTGGCTGATATTTTTGGTGGAGCATGTATGAACATTTTGTTTTTCTGAGGAGGATCTGCATGTACTGGATTAGGAACGTTGGGATTCATCCCACGTTTTTCCTACCACACCCCACTGCTCATTATCCCCACCATCAATTCTATGATAGGATTTTCCTTTTTTTTTTTTTTTTCTGAGACAGAGTCTTGCTCTGTCACTCAAGCTGGAGTACAGTAGTGCAATCTCAGCTCACTGCAACCTCTGCCTCCCGAGTTCAAGCAGTTCTCCTGCCTCAGCCTCCTTAGTAGCTGGGATTACAGGCACCCACCACCACACCCGGCTAATTTTTGTCTTTTTAGTAGAGATGGGGTTTCACCATGTTGGCCAGGATAGTCTCGAACTCCTGACCTCATGATCTGCCCATCTCAGCCTCCCCAAGTGCTGGGATTACAGGCATGAGCCACCGTGCCTGGCCGGGATTTTCCTATAAATTTATATTGCTGCTTTTATTACATCTCCCACTACATTTAGTACCAATCCCTTGTTTGTTAGTGGATGAATGTGATATTCACATCCAAGAGCATTTCTAGAAGGTACACGGTGAGCTCACTGTGAGTAAGAGCCAATCATGGGGTTCAGTGAGATGATCAAGTAAGGGAAGAAACAGATGTGACTGAAATTATGCCAGGAATTAAACCAAAGATCAAAGCAAATGACTGCACCAACTGGGCTCACAGCAGGCCTTTTCTCATTTTCAATTGAATAGTATCTTCCAAATAAAGGCCAAAATATTCTTTGAGATGTTGTCATTTATAACATTTAATTAGGATGATCTGAATTTTGATAAATGTTTTTCCACCAGGGCCTTTAATACTTAATCAAAAACAGGATAAACTGAAGCCAATGATCATATCAAGAGCCAAGCTGTAATTTTTCTACAGAGCTACACACTGAATTAAGGGTCACCGTTTTTCTTAATCAGATTCCTTCCATTTGAGGATCTTAGTCTTGTTTCTCCTCTTAGCCCCATCATTGGTTTCTTCTGCTCCCCCCACCAGCTTGATCCTCCACTTCCTCTTTCGTCATTGTCATTGCAACTGTCACCTCTCTGTTCTCTTCTACTTCCTTGTCCTTGCTGGCAGCAATGCTTACCAATTTTTACACTTCAGAACAGGTTTACTTACCTTGTTGCTGCTTGGTGACAAGGAAAGATAGCCACCTGTCTCCCTGACCTCTGGAACAACACATTTGGCATCAGTTTTAAAACAATTGTGAGGGAGAACTTTGATACGTGCATGGAAACTGCACAAGTGAAGCAACTGAACCAAGTGCATCCTGAACCTGTAGTGCCAAACCCATGTCTGCCGAACCCCCATGCATCTAGTAAGTAGCTACAAGTGCTGCTGATTTGTCATTTTGCCTGGCATGTCACATGAATGGAAAAAAAATTCCTGCATATCTGCCCAGGTCTGTTTTAGTAAATTACTAGCCTGTGAGCAGAATACAACATATTCCTATTAGATAGCGTATCTGACAAGATTATCACCATGTATTTTTCTAAATCTTCAAACACAGTAACTTGTTTTAATTTTGTAATTTCAAAAATTTGTGTAATAACTAGATAATATTTTACCTAATTGACGGCGATATGCAATCTTAGCTAGATGTACATTTTCTCCTGAAGTAATAAACTTTTTAAATGTTCTGCCATTAACATTTTCATTATCATCTCTATTGATAATTTCTGTTTACAGAATTTATCATATTTTTATTCAGAATTTAATTCATATCAGAATTATGAAAAATTATCATAATTTCACAAACATAAGAGCATTGATTTTAACAATTTTCTCTTAAAGATACTAATTGTAGTCGATCTGGATGTGAATATAAATATATTGTCCTAATTTGCAAGAATCAAACCAAATGCCATCATCCAATGGAATCTGAATTAGATGAGCGTGATATTTCATTTGAAGCTCGGCTCTTCATATTTTATTATAGGTTGGTGCAAAAGTAATTGCGGTTTAAATGTAATGGCCAAAAAAAAAAAGCTCAACCACTCAGGAGGCTGAGACAGGAGAATCGCTTGAACACAGGAGGCGGGGGTTGCAGTGAGCAGAGATCGCACCATTGCACTCCAGCCTGAGTGGCAACAGAGTGAGACTACGTCCCAGGAAAAAAAAAAAAAAAAAAAGAACACAGATTTGACTGTGTTTTGTGATATTAATATTATTAGAAGTAGCATGCATTAAACAATAATGATAACCATTCGTGGGTGGATGTTTAATGATAACCATTTGTGGGTGGATGTTTTCTGGCTACCTGACCCTCTAAGATGCTGCATGTTTAGAGCATTAAGGGACATCTTACTGCATGGCAGATTTCCTGCCACCATCAACCCCTATCCAAACCTGTTCTTGAGTTGAAGCGTCAAGTGCAGATCTGATTCTTCTGCTGCTAGTGATCAGAGGCCCTGCAGAGCTGGGCCGAGGGCGCCCCCTGCCGCCAGCCATCAGTCCAGCTCTGGGCAGCCTCTGCGGCTGATGGCAGCCCTGGCTCAAGCTCCCTGGTAGGTACTCGGAGAAATGAGAGGAGGGCCCAGGAAAATCAGCCCAAGAAGTGAACCCCGAACCTGGTCCCGTGTCTCCCTCAGTGGGGCATGTGCGCCGTAAACAAACATTCTCCATCTTTTCCTATCAGGAGCTGGAAGGAAGAAAAAAAAACCAAAACCACCATGGTGGAAAGGAGTAGAGAGGAGGAGATTTTGTTGTTGTTGTCGTTGTTATTTACACAGATATAAAGCAAATAGGAATTTGGTCATTAAAATGTTTCTAAGAAATATTGTGTTTTCTTCATTGAAATAACAGGAAGAGCGAACGCTTGTAAGTCTTGTCGCACACACCTTCTCTAACTCGTTTAAACCTCTGGAAAGACAGAGGAGGCAGGTACTGTTATTATCCCCATTTCCGAGAGGAAGAAACTGAGACCCCATTTCCGAGACGAATATTAACTGGCAGCAAGTTTCCCAGCAGTGGAGGTTTGAAGCTAGGCCACTGGCTGATTCTTCACCCTTCTCAACTCCTCTCTCCTGTGTTTAGACTCTCATTCAACTGCTGTATCAGCATTGACCATATAGCAACGCTTAGGGCAACAATAATTTTAGGAACAATACAAAAAGAAGATGTGAAAGAAGTAGAGAACTAAAAGCGCAGCCTATTCATGCTGTCCAGGAATATTCTTTATTTGAATTTGAATTTCACTGATGTCACACCAGCTTTGTTTGCCAATAGATTAACTTAGTAGTATCAATCAAAGGGTATAATTTACGTATTCCTTCTTATGAATTTCTTGAAATCGTCACCTTTTATTTTTTGTTTCCAAGATACATAGTCTTGGGACCACATCCCTTTAGTGTGAAGATATCAATCCCTGGAGTACTTTTACATCCTGCTTGTCATATCAGATAACATATGCAAATTATGCCCACGCAGCATCTGCATAGGCAGAGCTGATGTCACTCACAGTTCAGTGGAACTCTGTGTACTGCTCCACACTCATACCTGGGAGATGGTGAGAATCTTTGGAAAGGTGGCCCTCAGGATGAGTGAGCTCATTCACTGAGACCCCATAGTGAATGGGGAGCAAATGCTGGCTGTCGTTCCCCAAAGACCTCAATTCCTTCTTATATCAAAAAAGCTTCCCCGACCCCCATATGTATAGCAGCATATTCACAACAGCCAAGAGGTGAAACAACTCAGTGTCCGTTTTATGAATGGATAAAAAAAAAAAAGTATAGATCCATACAATGAAGTTTTATTCAGGCTTTAAAATAAAAGGAAATCTTGGCATAATGCTACAACATCATGATCCTTGGAGACATTCTGCTGAGAGAAATAAGCCAGTCACAAAAGGAGAACTACTAGATGGTTCCACTTACACGAGGTCTTCGAGTAGTCACAATCATGGAAACAGGAAGGGAAATGGTGGTTGCCGGGGCTGGGAGGAGGGAGGAATGGAGACTTGTTTCTCCATGGGTATAGGGTTTCAATGTGGTAAGACTGAAAATCGTAGAGTTGTTACACACCAGTGTGAATATGGTTGTCACTACTGAGCTCTACACTTGAAAATGGTTTAAAGAGCACGTTTTATATTATGTGTTTCTCAACACTGTTAAAAAATGTTTTGGGGGAAAAAAAGAGCTTCTCTGTGTGGGAGAAAACCCCCACAAGACCAGACGGGATCACACAAAGCCATCATGCCTCATGCCTGAGACTTTCAGATACCGTATTTATAAGTTTAGGCGCCAAACTAAGTCTGTGGCCTGGGCTGTATTCTTGTGATCTGCTAATGCAGCATTAAAAGGGTCAGGAGATGTGCTGATCTCTTTCCACATAAATCAGCTAATAAATGATAACTTTCATCGCGGCCGTGATCAGAGACCCAACATATCCCCCAGGGTGATGTAATTAACTGACATTTTTCCTTTGAGAAAGGAGTCACTTAAAAACATAACTTCAGGTCTGTTTTAAAAGACATACAAGCACAATGTACCTTTGTCGTAGGCATTTAATTTGTTCTCAGTTGGTAGCAATGATGCCAACATAATTTTAATAAAGTTTGTGACTTGGTTTGAGTCCCCAGGGGAGGCTAGAATCTACATGTTTATGAATAATGTTGGTGCTTCTTGTGGTTTTAAACATTGTCATCAAGAAACTGGAGAGAAGTCATAAACTAGCAATGCTTTTCTTTTTCTTTCTCTCTCCTCCTAGCAATGCAGCAAAAAAGCCTCTCCCCTGCTCATGTGGCTTTTGAAGTCCTCGGGCATCATTGCCAACCGCCCCTGGCCACGGATCTCTCTCACGATCATCACCACAGCCATCATTTTAACCATGGCCGTGTTCAACATGGTAAGTCCGGACCGTGGCGGTGTTCAACATGGTAAGCCTCTAACCATGGCCGTGTTCAACACGGTAAGCCCCGGACCATGTCCATGTTCAGCACGGTAAGCCCGGACCGTGGCCATGTTCAACCACGGTAAGCCGGACAGTGGCCATGTTCAACCGCGGTAAAGCCAGATAAGTGGCCATATTCCAGCAGTGGCCGGACCGTGGCCATGTTCAACAAGGTAAACCGGACGTGGCATTCGTTCAACATAGTAAGCCTGGACCGTGGCGGTGTTCAACCACATTAAGCCTGGACGTGGCCAGAAGTATTCAGCACGGTAAGCCGGACCCAACACGGTAAGCCCCGGACCGTGGCCGTGTTCAACATGGTAAGCCTCTAACCATGGCTGTGTTCAACATGATAAGCCCGGACCATGGCCGTGTTCAACATAGTAAGCCCTGGACCATGGCCGTGTTCAACATGTTCAGTTGCAGGGTGAGTCAGGGCTCACAGCAGGCAGGGCGTTCTTCCCTTCTGGGACCTGTCCTGTGGAATTTTGGAAACTCGCTTTTAACTCCTTTGCAACACCAGCTGCTGCCTGTTAAATTTAGCATCTAATGGCTACAGCAGTCATTTCTCTAAGGGAAGGGATGCTTTCACGGAGCCACCTTGAGAGATGGGGCGACTCCTTGGAGCAGTTCCCCACTTCCTTGCTCATGGTGGCCCCTCAACAGGCTGCAGAAATGACTGCAATGTCTTAAGGATAGTCATGAGGGGAAAAGGAACCCTCAAACTAAGGGGAGTGCGGTGTCCTGCCCTGGAGTTTAAAAGACCCGATTGCAACCCCGTGCTCCCCGTCTCACCAGCTGCACGACTATAAGGACGTTTTCACTGAACTCCGCAGGCTCCATTTTCACTTCTTTGAAAGTGGGAACCAAGACTTCTCTACCAAGGTGGTTCTAAGGATTCAATGAGCCAATGTTCCCACCACACTTAGGACAGTTCTGGCCATTTTGTAATTATTGAGCCAATGGCCACTCTTACTATATCAGTCTCATCATTGCTGGTTATCTCGCCCAGAATAGACACTTGGCTCGTCACGGTGCTTTGAGGCATGTCCTTATTGTTCTCATATCAGCAGCAGCAGCCGTAGGAGATCTGATGCTTCCTGTAGTGGAGGCTTCCCTCACTGGGAAATGCAGAGTGTTAGGAGATGTAGTCCTTGCCTTCCAGGGGCCCAAAGTCAGGTTGTGGTGACAGACCATATATTATTTCATAATAATAACATTGTTTGTATAAAGTAGAAAGCATTCATGCAGTGAAATGTAATGTTTATTGAATATAAAGATATGCCTGATATGTGCTGGGTGCTCAGACCCCAAAGACAGTTCTCTGCCTTCTAGGAGTAGGAGACAGACAGCTGGGTAACCTCATCATCAAGTCATTCTGAAACGAGGAGGCGAAGGCAGCAACAGAGGCATGAGGGGAAGGGAGAGCCAGGCCGGCTAGATGCAGTCCTGGAGGGCTAAAGGAGGAGTCTGCCATGTGGACCTGGAGGAAGTGAGGGGCAAGGGCAGGTGGGTGGAAGGGGAGAAGGAGGGATGTTTGCCTCTGGGACAAGAACAGAAATTCATATTAAGAAGTAGAGAAAAATAAATCCACCTGAAGAAGTGGATTAGGTCCTTGAATGTTTACATGGGGCCAGTCCTCCAGATCGTAGAGTTCCTCTCACTAGGAACTAGTGATCGTAAGTTCCTCTCAGACACCTGCAGATTCAGGTGAGGGTGACGCCATCTGGACCCCAGATGGGAAAAGCACTAGCAGCAGGAGTGGGATGGCCTCTCCATCGCTTTGTGTTGCCTAGAAATTGATCTTAGTGACACCTGCAAAGGCACCTTCACAGATAAGCTGTAGCTTGTCCTCCCTGCTCTCTGGTGGTGAATGTGTGCGACTCCCGCAGGTTTTCCTGTGTCATGAGTTTGGGTACAAGCATGCTGGCAGCCCTACCTCACCTGCTTGTGTGCTCCAGCTCCCTCTCCGGAGCTCCCCAAGAAAGAACATGAGGTCAGCCCTGTTGCAGGGCTCCCCAGACATGCAGGCTGCTGAAAGGTGCTACCACAGCTACCTCCTCCAGCCACCCGCTCAGCCTCCAGAACAGCTAGTTCAAAGGCTCCTCTGTTGCTGGGGAAGGAGGGGCTCAGCAGGCAAGTCCATGCAGGCCACAGCCTCCCTGGGCTAATGCAGGCCCTTGGCTGGCAGTCCCCTGTGGAGAGGTCCTGATGGGCCGGGTCCACCGCTGGAAGCCCTCCTCCTGCCCTTCTGTAAGATGAGCGAGTGGCACAAAGTGGGTCTCCCCTTCTTCCTGGATGTTTGCATCACTTGAGGCTCATTTTCTGCTGCAGGAATCGTGCGGCCTCCCTCTGGGGAAGGAGGCCTCCTCTTCTAGGTCTCAGGGGTGCCTGGATGGTGACATCGTTTATTTCCAATTAGGGCTTAATCCAGAGTGAATGGGAAACAGCTGAAGAGGGAAAATGTGCCATGTCTACACAACAAGCAATTTTCTGGGGTACCACTGGGCTCCAGAAAGACAGAAATGCCAGGGCTCAGGTGGAGACCTACTGCATTCATCCACTGAAGGCACCTGCTCATGGGAGCGAGACTGGCCAGCCGGGGGCATTCTGCCTGAAGAACAGGGTTGGGAGGCAGGGGTGGTGGGGAGTGGTGTTCTTGCTGTGGTCCTAGAGCTTTCTTCAGGGGGACGGCCTCAGGGTGGGGAACTCAAGGTGAGAGATTTAAGACAGGGACAGGAGAGGCTTTCTTGAAAGAGCCTTTCTGCAGACACGCCAGGAGCCACAAGAATGCCTCAGCTCTCTGCATATGCAATTTCCTGGATACTGCAAGGACGTGAAGAAATCACGGGGGAGGAACCTGGACAGAGAGAGGGGCAGGCAGCGGGCGTTGGCCTGAGACGCCAGAAGTCTGAGTGTGTTTTCTAAAATGGGTTTTTTGGGCTTGACTTTGTAACCTGCATGTATGCATTAGTCCTGCTGTTCCAAGATCCAGCTTCCCAGGAGAGCGCACTGCCAAGCACCAAGTGCGCTTTGGTAGATGAAAGCTGTGAGAGAGACTGGGTTGGAAGTCGACTCTGTAGCGGAGGGGCTGATGAAAGCGCACTTGAAGGGCAGCAGGGTGCACAAGCTCGTGTTCCGATTTACTCAGAACCCTCGGGTGACTGACACATGCCCGTAAATTAAGCCGCCTCCTGGCCCGTCAGAAGTGTGTTCACCGTGCATGCAAGCAAATTGAGTACACCTCCTGAGGGCTGACCTTCACTGGCCAGTAGCAGCACATAGGAGTTAGAGGACAATACATTTAACATCATATACGCAAACGTAAGAGTGAGATCATTTTTTCTTTCTCTCTTATTATATAAATTTCAGTTGTGGAACATGATGTTTTGATATACATATAAATTGTGAAATGATTACTACAGGCAAGCCACTGAACGTATCCATCACCTTCCACATAACCTCTTGTGTATGATGAGAGCACCTAAAATCTACTCCCTTAGCAAATCTTAAATACAACAGAGTGTTATTAACCAAGTCCTCCCACTGTGCTTTAGTAATCTAGGTGCGTTCATCCCACATGACTGCAACTTTGTACCCTTTGTACCCTTTGTACCCATGCCCAGCCCCCAATTTTTTTATCTAATCATCCATCGATAGACAGATTGTTTCCGTATCTTGGGTGTTATGAATAATACTAGAATGAACTTTGAGGAAATCTCTGTTTTTTTTTCACATGTCCTAGGAAAGTGCCTTCCAATCATTAGTTATTAAATGAAAGAATGAGTGAGTGAATAGGTAAGCATACAGCCCTTTAAATAAGAAACCATTTCCTTTTGTAACATCTAGTTTGACCCTATAAAACCAGGATTTATCACGTAATTCTTAAAGACGATATAAATGAGAAACAAATCTGGTTTGGAAGCTAACTCTATTTTGTATAGCATAATTAGTCATGATTGACAGACAGTTCAGTCACTGTCTATAAATGTTTGGCAAGCTGATCATTTAGGAGGAGACATTCTTTCAACAGTAGCTACGATCCTTTAGAGAGAGAACAACTGCCTTTGGTAACAGAAATATGTCTCCAATGTTGTTTTCCTTCCTCCACGGAAGACACATTAAAAGTATGATGGATGACCCTTGAGATTTCTTTCTTTCTCAAAAATCATTCATCACACTTTTTAATACTTTTAATGTGCCTTCTGCAGATTTTCCACATACCAAGCTGCCTTCTGTAGCAGTAGAAGCAGGAAATAAGCTAAATTACCTTCCCCCACCTTTTCCTGTCTATCCATGCAGGGGGAGAAGAAATCAGAACTGCTCAGGCACTGAATTCCTCCAAGTGTGCAGAAAAATACCATTTGTATTGATACCTGGTGCCATGAACTTAGTGGTTCTTTTCCACACAGGTGCTCCTCTTGCACTTATGTCAAAGAAAAAACGTAAAACTGTAGGAAAGTTGACGTTTGGTACGGAAAGGAAATAACATGACCTAGCTGTAGAGCCTTGTGTATAATGTCTTATTAATCACAGAAGACGCAGGACTTGTCCATGAGTTCTGCCTCTGGCCACACCTGAGGATCTGCAGATGCCCCGGGCTCCTAAACTCTGACTGTGTGAGGCGGAGGCGGTGCGCAGGGCCACATACCTCATGAGGTGGTGCTGATGCAGCACTCAGACTGCCCAAGCAGGCAGGCAGATTAGGAGGGGGCACCTGTGCAGGGCGGTGCAATGGAAGCGGACTCCTGTCACTCACATCAGGAAGGCGCCACCTTCTGCTGAAGGATGTGAGTGACACTCAGTCTTTACATGCAGTTCGATGGTCCCAGGATGGTTTCTGTCTCTTTTTACCTAGTCCCACTTTAACCTGTCCATCCGGGAGCAGTTTCTAGTTAAAGGAGTATAGCTTTTCATGTTTTTTCTCAGCATTTTTTTTTTTTCTGAATATGTTTTCCAGACTGAGGGAGCCCCATCCGCAAGTCGTATTTCTGTTTCTTAGCTGTTGTTAACCCAGTGAGACTAATCCAGGCATCGGACTCACATTTCAGCAAGAATAACAGTTCTTTGTGTTGGCAGAGGTGGGGGACTGTGGGAGCGCATATGCTTTCAGTCACTGGGAAGAACATTTAACTTGCTCTCAGAAAACTTCATCTGTTTAAAGTCCTAGCCTCATTCATGTCCTCACGTATAGCACCTGTGATTTGTGTAAGTTTTCCCTTTGAGGCAGAGGAAGAGTGCTTTCATTTTCTTTCTTTTTTTCTGTTTCTACTGTATTTTTTAATTGTGTATAATAGATATAACATAAGATATATTATTGAACAGTTTTTAAACATACAATTTAGTAACATTAAGTACATTTGCAATGTTGTGCGACCATCACCACCGTCTATCTTCAGAGTGTTTTTCATTTTCCCAAACAGCAACTCTGTCTCCATGAAACACCCACTCCCCATCCTCCCTCTCCCCAGCCCCAGGTCACCATTGTGCTGCTTCCTGTTTCTATGAATTTGCCTCTTCCAGGGACCCCACGTGAGTGGAGTCACACAATATCTATCCCTCTGTGTCTGGCTCCTTGCCCCGGCATTGTGCCCCCGGGTGTTCCTTTTCTTCTGGATGCCCCAGTCCCTTTGCAGCAGGTGAGCCTCGGTTTGCCCTGCGTTTTTCCAGCCAGTGGCAAGCAGCCCTTGTTAACTGCCTCTCTGTCATCGTCTGCCACGACTCTGTACCTCAAAGGGGAGAGATGCGTTAGGAATAACGTGTGATGGCTTGAGGCTGCCCTGACCTGCCTCTGCTGTTGACTGCGTGGATGGGCCGGTTCATCTCGAGGCTCCGCGTCAATTTCCAGTCACTAATATTTATTCCCAGCCTGCATTTTAATGACCCTTACAAGAGCCAGGGTCAATGGGAACAGTGTGTTCAGAGAACTGGCTTTTTAAGTCTCATTACTCATTGGTATTGAATGCCAAAATGTCCAAGTCAGTTTTATTTCCAGTGAATCCTGTGATTTTAATGGGATATCTGAAACACTCGATGTTTACCCATGTGATACCAACACCTCAATAAAAAGTGGAGAAAAACAATTGGTGGTCCATGTTTGTTTCAGATGTAGTGTTTTTTCTGTCTTAGTCTCCAGCTGGCTGTTGAGAATCTCATATGAGCGGCCGAATGTGCTGCCATTTTATTCCTGACATTTTGAGAACGTCATCGCTTGATTCCTTGCAGCATTTTGCAACTTCTTCTGAGAAATTTCCAAGAAATTTATTATAAGTAAAGCATATATAAATCTGTGAGCCAGCCAGGCAAGGAGTTAGCCATAGTTAACTAGTAGTCTAGTCAGGTAGACTTCTAATTCCAACCAAATGGCAAACACAATGATGTCATCAGGCATAAAACAATACTAAAGCACCTGTTTACAGTTTAATGTGATTCGAAAAATGTAATTCTGATACGTTTTAAATTGCCTGAGAAATGTAAAATTTGCAAGTAAACTAAAAATATGCAGTATTCCTTAGCATTTTATTTAGGAAGTTTTGTTCAGAATGATGACATCATTGTCCCAATTATGACAAAGGATGTGGAGAAGTAAATTGGGTCCAGAGAAGAGCTCCCTAAATCGTTATGATGCTAAAAATATTTTCAGTGGAGAAAGCTGGGGTAGTTTTACCTGGAAGGAAGGTGGGCAAGGGATTAGTAACTCTCTTGAGTGTTTGACTGGCTACAATTAGGGAATGATATGAGTCTGTTATTTGAAAATGCAAAGAAGACAGAGGAAGGGAAGTTGATTCAAAACTGTAGTATGATTTTAGACAGAATGAAGAGTTTCTTGAATTTATGGGGAGTTGATATTAATAACTACTAGAAAGACGTAGCAGAAGTGGATTAGGAAACGTGGGTAGTGATTGGAGTTTTCTCTTGTTCTTCAAGTTCAACCATCATATTTATTGCAAAACCTCCTTACAATACACATTTTTCACAAAGTAAACTACTCATTTATTGTATGTCAAGAATGCAACACTTCATTTTACCTAGTTTTTTGCCCATATGGCGATATAATCAAGAAGTTTTTGTTAATTATTTTAAGATCCTTGGCATTTAAGACTAGTAACCCACCAAGCTAAACAATCTCCTTTTCTTTGCCATTTGTTGATTTTTTTAATATTTAAATGAATTGGATTTTTGGTCTATCAGATCTAAATCTAAATCTGTACCCTTTTGGAGCCTGATGTTTGCCAAGCAATTATTCTATTCTTTTCTTCTAATCCCTGATATAATTTTTTCCAAAATATTAGGACATTTGTAGTTCGGCCAGGGATGTGACAATTTTTACAAGTTCTTTCATCATACATAAAGAAATCTACTATATTTCTTTGATGCTTAAATCAGCATTTTGCCAAATTTAATCAAATGATATAATGGGCAGAAATACTGTATCTCATATCTCTATAGACTATGAGAGGAATGTTCCCAAGAATAAACTAAATAAATGTCTTCTTATCCAAATAAATTAGTTTAGGTATTTGACAAGAACTATGCAGTCCAGGGAAATAACTCAATAGAAACAAACAAAAGCAACCGTAGAAACTATAAGGAAGTTTCACTTTTTAAACCTTGAATATGTATGGTTAACCCTATGCAGAAAACACAAGTTGTTCAATAGGTGTATGGATGAGATTAATTTCTTTCAGTAAAAGGAATGGGCTGAAGTCATGATTCTCTGGTTTGTTTCCAGAACATTCCTCTGACCCTTAGCCACATGACAGAAAAGTGGCTGATCCTTGGGTATTTAGTCTGGGTGCAGCTTCTGTAGGACAGAGAGCGAGCGAGCAAGAGAGGATGAGAGAGAGAGAGAGACAAATTTCTCCTGCCTTGCTAACAGGTTGATGCTATCCTTCTGATGCTTATATTGGTGACCATTACATAAAAGCTAATTATTTTCTCAGCAGTACCTTTCTGTTTTTTAGTTAAAATCCCCTTTCCAGCAGTCCTGAGAACACCCGTCCTTTTAAATTTTTCACCCCTTACGATCTGAGTTACCAAGCACTCACAAGTAATAGATACAAATGTCGAGGCTGGTGATTGCATTTTGCCCATAAAATTAATTTTCATTCTAAACATCAAAAATTCATAGGATTGTATTGACTCATTTAATGTTTGAGCCAAGATGGCAAAGGTACTGGGGGAAAAAACATTCTAAAAGGCTCCAATTTGATGGTAGAGAGTTGAATGTATACATGGTGATACCGGCTTCAAAGGCGATATCGGTTTCAAACGTCATTCTAACCACTCCCTCTGCCCACAGCTTTGTGTACTTTTGATTTACTGTTTGATAGAGGTGCCTCTAATTTCCTTAATGTGAATTTTGAAGTTCTGAAATTCTCTATTGAATGTATAGAACAATAAATCGTTAATTACTTATTCAATAGAAATTCCCAAGTCCACATAAGCAATCCTGTTTACTGTGCATAAGGAACACAGAATTCATAAAGTTAACACCCACCTGCTAGTTATTTAATCTAATTTGCACTAATTCATTGAAAAAAAAAAACCTTCTCTTTGCAGTTTTTCCTGAGTGACTCAGAGGAAACAATCCCTCCAACTGCCAATACAACAAACACAAGCTTTTCAGCCTCAAATAATCAGGCGGCGATTCTGCGTGCGCAAAATTTATTTTTCCTCCCGGTAAGAGAACATTGCAATTATGACTGCATTGGTGGCTCTCCTATATGCTAGTAGTCTGGATTAACATATATCCTTTTTAAGTTTCAGATGTATTCTAGACTTTGCATTTCCTCTCTGGTATCAATCCCTGAGTGGTCCTGAATTTACAAATGTCAGCCTCTGCTAGAAGTCCGGGCCCTTGGGGACTGGCTAAACTTACATCCGAAAACTTAGAATGTTATTGTCATGCTTTCACCGGTAATGTTTGCCTTCTTCTCTTAACCACTACAGCACTTCTAGCATATTTCCTACCATATGGCATTCAATTATAAGGCACCATGTTTCTGGGTTTCTCACTTAGAGACATTGCCAATTGCTCCAGTGAATTAATATTATCCCCCTTAAAGCTGTGATAAAACTACCCACATCTCATTTTCTTCCCTCTTCTTTGGCAGCATACGTTGCCCAGTGATTCTGTTCCCCAGTAATTCTTGCTAACTGACTCATCTTAACCAGTATCACAAAGGACCTAGGCTGAAACTTCAAAACGTATTAACACATTAGTCTTCCAAGTGGAGAGTTAAGTGAGTTATTTACTGCTTAACAACTTTGTTCTTCCATACATCGTTTGTGAAAAAAAAAAAAAAAGTGTTGATACTCTCCTTTTCACTTTCCAAATAATTATCTGGAAGTAGTGCAGATTATGCTTGTTTAGTTTCCATCTCAAATAATCAGTTTTGAGAATGCTAAGTGAACTATTTTGGGGACTGAAATTGATAATTTAATATGTATGCTTTCAAAATTCCCTATCAAAATTTTTAACTCCGTTAGCTATGGCAGTAAAGTGGATTTATTTTCCCATTCCTCCTTCTCTGATTTTCTTCCTTGATATTTTGCTCTGTTCTTTTTTCCCTTCCCAACATTTCATTTCTTGGGAAGCTCACAGCTCCATGCACAGATAGAAGTGATTTCTGGTGTTCTTTCCTGAAGGCTTCTGAGGCCTTGACTACGTCATGAGCAAGATGGCCAGGGTGCAAAAGCAGTGTCCCCATGGGCTTGGGAAGAGGAGGTGGTATAGGTTCATCCCTTACCCAGGAGATCCTGCCCTTCAAATGAGGTGTTATCATAAACTCCAGTGAGGACTAGGTGTTGACTTCTCTATTTAGTTATGTGAAAAGTGAAAAGCTGGAGTCATCGTGAGAGTCTATTGAGTGTAGTCTCACTGTGGGCCGTTTGTGGGCCATTTGGAGCTCTCTCTTTTCTAGAGAAATATTTAAATTAATGGTGTGACCTGCCTCTTCCTCCTTGATCCAATGGTGTGGGCATCCGTATAATCCATAGGCTGACTGCTGGGAAGAGAGTGCACCGACCAAGCAGTCCCCCTTTCACATCCACGTGGCACTTTAAGTTTAAAATTTTAACATGAAGATGCTTTTTGACAGGAAAAAAAAAAATGAATAGCTGCAATACTTTTTTAAATCTCTCCTTCCACTATGTTTGAGCCAAACAACTCGCCACACTTGGCATCACTAAAAGAATAAGGAAATCATTATGAATTTCATTTAGGTAAATCTGTGTAATATCTTATTTGCAGTCAAAGAAAATTATTAAAAACTTAAAGTGGGGAAAGGCAACATTTACTCAGTCTTAAAAAGATTCTGAAAAAGCACACAATAGGTTCTCTAAAATCTAGGTGGGATTTAGTCAACGGCTACTATCCTTCCAATAATGAGGCCTTGAAGATCCTGGCCAGCGTTGCCAAGGAAGCCCCAGGTCCGCATGGACTGGCTGCACAGAAACCGCATTGTGAACTCGTGGGTTTAGCGGTCCCCAAGGAGCCTGGAGACATCCTGGCTTCCTCCCTAAAGGATCCCAGGGAACAGTTGAAAAGCCGTTTTGTGGGCGTGTGCCACACAGGCGTCATTTCTCTCAAACCCCATGTTATGTGATGCCTGAAGTTGCCCAGCAAGCTGAGAAGCATGCCCAGTTCACTACTGGTGCTGGCATAAAGTGATGTAACTCTTCTAAGTGGTAATTTCAAGAATTATCAAAAAGCACAAGACAGACACACTTTTTACCCTGTAATACTAATTTTGAAAATTAATTTTAAAAGTGAAAAGGTTTATTAAACACGTGTTAGTGCATGTGTTTATATAACATAAACAAAAAGAAAGCAAAAGAAAGAAAACAACCTAAAAATTGGAAAATGCAAATTATAAAATAAATTTTATTGTAATGCAGGATAAGGTTATACTTAACCACCATATAAGACATTGTAAAAAAAAATTAATGACATATAAATGCATATTCATAATAAATTATTCATTGAAAAGTATAGTTTTAAAAAATACAAAATGGTATGATCTTAATTTTTTAAAATAATACTGCCAATAATAAGTAGAAAGAAAAAGACTGGAAACACATATACAAATAATGAACAGTGGCTAAAGTGGATGTTGGGGATTATCAGAGACCCTTATTTTTATATACATCCTTTTGTATATTTCCCAGTCTTTAACATCTGGTGTATTGTTTCTGTAGCAGGAAAACACAGTCCTTTTAAAATACCAAAATTAGCCATAAAGGACCTTTGCAGTGTAAGTTGTTTGTACCACAGCAGGCACTTGGTATGCGTTACGTCATTTCATCCAAAAATGACGCTGGTGAAGTAGGTATTATTGGGGTTCTTGTTTCGCAGGTGAAGAAGCTAAGACCCAGATACTTTAGTGTTACTAAATTACTCCCGACAGTGGTGACTGTTACCTTTCTGTAAAATACAAGTTGGTTTCAATGATTATGTCAAAACTGGTAAACATTACTAGCAATCAGGTTACCAGTAAGTACACTCCAATAGAAGTCGGTTCAGAATCCTACTGCCAGAACCGCTGACCATCTGGAGCCTTCCCTGGTCGGCTAAACCGTGGAGCCAAGACAGGCTCCCAGCCTGGCGTCTTGCATTGTTCTCTCCCACACGTCCCTGGATGGCTATTTACAGGTTCCCAACCTACCTTTTTATGCCAGATCACCTCTTGCACAGCCTCCAAACATTCTAGAAGGTCATTTTACAGAAAAGGACTAAAGTATACTTCCCATTAACATACATATTTTAGTAGATGTTCCTGAAATGTGGAAATAAAAAATTTAAAGCCTAAGAATGAATTTTGAAATGTGGAACCTTAGCATATTTTATAGGTGTTCACACATAGTTAAAAGGCTCAAACTGTGAGAACCTTTAAAATTTTACCCCAGGTCCCCACACACCAAACAATCCACATATATCCATTGATACATACACACCCTCTTATAAGTAGTTTCTTATTCTGTTCTCTCATTCGATTAAGTTGACTGGTTGATAATTTTCATTATAACAGTGGTTTTCAAGCATAATTTTAGAAACAGAGCTCTTTCAAAAACCAAAAGTTACAAAAGACTTTAGTGTGTAGTAATAATAGCAGAATTTCCAAGCTTCTCATGGACTAGGCTGTTCTAAACTCTTTTGTTACTCAATCTTCATGAGACTTCTCCAACATGGGTGTTATCATCATCTTTACTTTGAGTGACTCGTGGAGGACACAGGATTGCCTTGTTAAGGTCAGCTGCTTTGGGGAATCCGATGGGACAGGATCCCTGAATAAGAGCCTTGCCCCCGCCAGTTCCTGGGGCAATTTCCCTGGTTTTAAGGAGCAGTTTTAAAATACTCAAGACTATTTATTAAAGGGCTACTAGGTTATTAATGAGGGCTTCTCAAATTCTTTGTGAAGGCCCTTTTTCATTTTGCTTTGTTTTGTGTTTTTAATTTCTAATCTACGACAGACTAATGCTTTTGAAAAATGTAATGGTGAATTAACAGCAAAATGAACTAAAAAGGAAGCCATATGAAATGCAAGCTCATATTTCATTATATTCATCAGAAACAAGCTTACTCTGCCAAGTTTCTATCCACATTCTGCACCTCTCTTGCAGAACTCACTGCTGTACTTTGAGTGGTCTTGTTCTAAGCAACATAGAGCATTAATGTACCTTGTATCATAGTCCTCAGACCTGCCCTAAAGTAGATACTTAGTAACTTCTCTAAGGTGACAAGGGCAGAACTCTCTAGAAATAAGGTCTCCTTTCAGAGGGCGTGCTATACCCCTCCTACCACTCAGATACTGCCTGTCCACCTGTTCACAGCTCTGTTGATTCTATCATTTTACTACGTTAACCCATGTGGTCTCTTCTTTTCCTTTTCCTGTTCTCTGTTGTGGGAAGCCATGAGAGGCAGAAGAGTGGAGACCTGACATCAGGCAATTGCAGCTACGAAACTGTGCTTACAACACTCAGTGTTCCTTAAAATGCTGCCACCTGAAATGAAGAGTGGCCTTCACATTCCCATGCAAAGAAAGACTTTAACTCCCCGAAGAGTGACCTAGTTGGTGTGTAATCCAGTGTGAGGTATTGGTCTTCCTTTTGAAGCCACAGTGCCAGGTCGAAGTCCTTACTAATGGGATTTCTACTCATTCCTACTTTTCTACTCATTTCCTACTCATTTGTAAGGCTGCCTTCACTCAAATGTGCCTCTTACAAAGAGAAAGCCTGCCATATGATCACTGCAAGCTGCTATTTCCAACTTTCCTTTCTTCCACAGGAACAGGACTGTTGAGTTAGGATCAGTAGCCTTCCACATAGCTTAATGTAGATGGCTTTAGCTGGGGAAATCAAAGGCAGAGCTCAAATGACAAAAGTAAGCAGCTCTTACCTGGCTTACTCAATATGATGAAATTAAAATCGAGTAAAAGTTGGGCTATTTTAAAAGACAAGGTTTTAAAAAATCAATAAGATCTATGTTTTATTAAAAGTCTTAATTTTTTTTTTTTTTTTTTTTTGAGTGTTGTCTCTGTTCTAGGAATGCTGAGATAGTAACACAAACCTTGTTCACAGAAACCCCATGATGTAGCAAATAAAGCCTTTCTGAAGATGGCGCCTGTTTCCCTGCAGCGAGTCCCTCCTGGCGCGCAGGACTCTGGGCTCTGTGCATTACTCTTTTATCTCTGTTGTTTTCAATGACCTACAAGGAGAATATGATTACCCTCATTTTACAGTGTCATGCAGACACTGTGATACAAGCAAGTTAGGTCACTGGCTGCAAATAAGTGAGCTAATGAGCTAGCGAAGAGTTGAATTCAGAGCTATCCAAAGCCTATCTGAACGGTACCTGCAGTGGTAAATGGTGAGGAAATGGTTCACCTGGGGCAGGCCTGCCTGCAGCTTGCTCTGCCCTAAGATGGACGATACCATCTCGCTGGCTGCCACTTGGTTCTTCCACTTTCTTCTGGTGCCTGTCGAACTCCCGGGGGTTCATGACTCACCCTGGTCAAGGCTTTTGATTTAAATCCTTCTGTTTTAAATAGGCCCCACTGACACACAATTTCTCTTTTAATAAAATGTCTCGGCTTCCTTCTGCTTTTAACAGTTGTCTGTAATGATTTATATTATCTTAATGAATTAAAGAATTGAAAGGCCAAAAAAGATTCTATAGACGTTAACTTACATTTAAGGAATGTATAGGAGGCCACAATGTTTTCATTTTCAAGAAATAAATAACATTGGCTTATAATGATGTGTCTTCCATGTAAGTTTTTTTTACAATTTTATTCCTAAAAAGTGGCAATATACATGCTTATTTTTATTTATCATGCAAGGTTGGGTCAGAAAGCTTTGGATGATTTTTTTTTTCTGAATTTAATGTATTCAGGCATTTGCCCCTAGATCAAAGCCGGCTTATATATTGACCAAATGAGATTGGCGGTGGCCCCTGATTGTAATTGTTTCAGCATTTCTTAGAAGAGATCCTACGGATTTGTCTGTTGTCCTTCCCTGTTTCAGTACTTTATCTACAGCTGTATTCTGGGACTGATATCCTGTTCCGTGTTCCTGCGGGTGAACTATGAGCTGAAGATGTTGATCATGATGGTGGCGTTGGTGGGCTACAACACCATCCTACTCCACACCCACGCCCACGTCCTGGGCGACTACAGCCAGGTCTTGTTTGAGAGGTGAGCCGCTGCCTCTTCCTTCTCTTACTTTAGTTCTTTCCTAGCATGTGGATAGCGTGAGTGTGTGTTGAGTAAATGCAAGTTAGCGATGTCATTGTCATTGATAAATCATTCTGAGAGAATTTCTTTGAGGTGATGCCTCAGAAAGATGATATGTGTTTTTGTTGTAGATTACATCTGATTATGTATTCTCAAACACACATAGATGTGAAGTGGTTTGGGGAGAAGAACTGTGTTATAACCTGTACTATGTTGATAAAAGTAATCTAAGATTGTCCACCTCAACACTATTGATATTTTGGACTAAATAATTCTCTGTGGGGGGCGTTGTCCTGTGCGTAGTAAGTAGGGTGTTTAGTGACATCCCTGGCCTCTACCCACTGAATGCCAGTCACAATCTCCAATGCCCCAAGTCATGACAACTGGAAATGTCTCTAGAAATTGCCAAGTGTCCTCAGGAAGGCAAAATGGCCCTCAGTTCCAAGCAAGATATTGAAAAAATTAGTAGCTGTATTCACAATTTACAGTGTTATATTTCTCACTAGAGATTTTCTAAAATACTGTTTTGGGAAAGAGGAACTATCAATCCTAAAAATTCTTTGTTCTATGGAGAAATTGACTTCAAGAAAATATATGATTGCTTTAGGTCTTTCAACTGTAAGGCTAGATGCAACAGGAATGATTCTACCAGCTGCACTCACTCAGGTTTATAACCAGTTTCCTGTTACCGAATTACTTCTGTATATGAATATATACGGAAGCTTATAATGAATACTTGTTTGAAAAACATTGTTTTAATCATTATAATACTCTCCACATCACATCTCAAAAACAAAACATTTTGTAACAAGCGTTAGGTTTATTTCTGAACCCACCAGATGTCAAAGTATTTTCTAGGAGGGCTTTGCACTGTCCTCCATCCTATTTCTATATTTATTTTAACATAATATAAATGCCTTAAATATTTGTATTGATTTATTACTCCAGAAAGTTGTTTTGTGTTGATCATACATGGCCACCTATTTCTCCACTGGAGACCCGGTGTTAGGAATGGCAGTCATCGCACTGTGTAGACACTTCTTAGCAATAAGAAGCTTTGCAGAAGATGCAACCCATTCTTTTCACCTAATTTAATTTTCATCATCCTCCACACAATGAAACTCTACTATCTGTAATAAAGCTTAAGGCAGTGGAGTTGCAAAAATGCATAATTATATTTATGATTCCTTAGCCAAAATGAGAATGGAAGTTAATTTTCCAATAAATTGTCAAAATTGCCAACTAAACATGCTTTACTATTGCTCTGCTGCATCCAGAAAGCCTGTGTTGTGTTCCTAAATAAATGTAGCATTATTGATTTTCACATGCAGCCGATAACCCTACTAAGTTTCCCTTTATTAAATTTAAATCCCCTGAATATGTTACACATCCGAAGCAAGAGAATAAATCAGATTACCAGGTTCCTGGTGTGGAGAGAATTGCTTCTGGGGACCTCAGTGAGGCACTTGAGGAGACAGGCAATCTCTGAGTAGAACCCTCGCAGCAGGAGAGTAGTTATCAGGTTGAAGAAAAGGAGTTTTACCTTTAGATCACATTCACTGTATTAAAGCTCTTTTGTGCTTGCAGCTCGGTTTGTCTTTGCAATGACCTTGAAGCTCGGGAGGCACTTGCCTTCGCTTCCATCAGTAAAGCTAGCACCCTCCTTGGGATCACACGCCTGTCTCTCACTTCCCATTTTTTAACAAAAATTTTGTGGTTGCATAATAGGTATACATATTTATGGGGTATATGAGATGTTTTCATACATCTTGCAATGTGAAATAATCGCACCATGGAGAATAAGATATCCATCCCCTCAAGCATTTATCCTTTGTGTTTCAAATAATCCAATGACACTTTTTACTTATTTATTTATCTGAGGCAGAATTTTGCTCTGTCGCTCAGACTGGGGTGCAGTGGCATAATCTCGGCTCACTGCAACCTCTGCCTCCTGGGTTCAAGCCATTATCCTGCCTCAGCCTCTCTAGTAGCTAGGATTACAGGTGCCTGCCACCATGCCCGGCTACATTTTTACATATATTTTTTTTAGTAGAGACAGGGTTTCATCATGTTGGCCAGGCTGGTCTCAAACTCCTGGCCTCAAGTGATCCACCCACCTCAGCCTCCCAAAGTGTTGGGATCACAGGCATGAGCCACCGCGCCCGGCCTTAGTTATTTTTAAATGTACAATTAAGTTATTGTTGACTGTAGTCGCCTTGTTGTGCTATGAAATAGTAGGTCTTACTCATTATTTTTTCCCACTTCCTAATTTTGATCAGAAGTTCTGGCACTTCTTGAACTGATCCCTGAATAGGCTGCACAATATTCTCAGAAGCATCTTCTATGGAAAGATGAGTCTTACTGATGTAATAGCAGAAAAGCGTAATACCTCAAAATCAATGAATATTCTATGATGTGCACTTAAAACTAACTACCACTCTTAAAGTGGGAGTTTAGAAGCCCCACAATTTCTCCAGCCTCATTGCCTGTTTTACATAACCCTGTGACTTGTGCCAGAGGTAAAACCAACCAATATCAATGTTTTCCTTCTCTTTTCTGAGATCCAAGAACTTTTCCCCATCAAATAATTGACATCAGTTTTCTCATCCTTTGCCTTGCTTATTGATGCTGACACACACTTCCCAATATGAAAGTGAGATCCTTTAAAAAAAAAAACAAAAAAAAACAAAAAAAACCAAAAAAAACCAACTATGTAGTGTGGTGCCTTGAGAGTGAACATCACTTAATCCCAAAGCCAGAGGTGTCCCTGAAGGCGGGAGCCGGCTCACAGGATGGCCAGGCAGCACCGCCTTTTCTGATTGAGTCCGTCTGTGCCATTGAAGTCATTGCATTCGGTCCCATCCCTTTGGTGACCTGTCTCTGGGCACCACATTCTTGCCTTCTCCGTCCTGCTGTGGTCTTCTTTCTGGGACCCTTGCTTGACTGTGGCAGGTCAGTGTCCTTGCTGTCCATCGAGGCCCCTAGACCTGCTCCTCATTGGCCTTGAGTGCTCCAATGACACTGTGATGGTTAATGTTAGGTGTCAACTTGATTGGATTGAAGGATGCCTAGATGGCTGATAAAGTATTGTTTCTGGGTGTGTGTGCAAGGGTGTTGCCAGAGGAGACTGACATTTGAGTTGGTGGACTGGGAGAGGAAGACCCACCCTCAGTGTGGTAGGCACCACCCAATTGGCTGCCAGCACAGCCAGAACAAAGCAGGCGAAAGAAGGCGGGATAAGCTGGCTTGCTGGGTCTTCTGATTTCCATCTTTCTCCTGTGCTGGATGCTTCGTGCCCTTGAACACCAAACTCCAGGTTCTTTGGCTTTTGGACTCTGGGACTTGTAGAGCAGCATCTCCAGGGTTCTCAATTCAGAAGGCTTCACTGTTGGTTTCCCTGGTTTTGAGGCTTTGGAACTTGGACTGAGCCTCTCCCAGCATCTCTCTTTCCCTGCTTTGCAGATGGCCTGTTATGGGGCTTCACCTTGCAATCCGGTGAGCCAATTCTCGGTAATAAACTCCCTTATATATATATACACATCCTATTGGTTCTATCCCTCTGGAAAACCCCGACTAATACATAGACCTCCCTCAAACTTCTGGCTTTCACCCCTCGGTGTGCCAGAGGACCAAGCAGCTCCTCTGCCTGTTTCACCTGGGAAAGGTGGAAGGTACCCATCCTGGGTGAAGGGGACATGGCCTCTGTTGCCTGTTAGCCCCTTTTCTGTGATATACACATATGGGCCGAGGACTTTAACACACTCTCCTGAATCATGCAGAAGAGAAGATCTGAACCAAATACTATGGTTTATAACAGTGCCTGGCCTCTAGTACTCAACAAAAATCTGTTGAATGAATGAACAAAAGCAGATCGTGCTCTCGAACAATGGGAAGAGCCTGACACCGGCTTCCTGAAATCTCTCGCCTCACCTGCTTCCCTGAAGACAGAGTGTATCTCCACATCACTGAGGATGTGTCTTTTAGTATCCACTTCAGGTTCTGTTTATATCTTTATATTTCAAAGGAAAGTTCAGGGAAGGCATCTCTGTTTAAAGGCAGCGCCGGCCGTCTTCCTCTATACTTTGTCCTGCATGTGACTTCATCGTGGCTCCGGTGGCAGGGCCTTTTCAAAACAAACTTGACATTGCTCGTGGACAGGCCAATAAGATGTTACAAACCAATGGAGTTGGCAGAGGAAAAAGGAGAGGGATGCACCAGAAAAACTTCGTATCGATGAATTGTTAAGAAGATGGTATTTAAGACATTCTTACACATTCAAGAGTGTGAAGAGTAGACTTTTCAGGAGGAAAGAAAGACCACTCAGAGAGAGTGTGCCATTGAAAATCCATTAGGAAGGAGGCCGGGAGTGTCCCGGTATTTAACGTGACCTGCTGGGGCGTCATTCAGATAAGTCGCCTCCTGCTGAAGGTAGCTCAGGAGGTTCTCAGATGTTATCTGTTCTTTGGTGTCCATAGCAGTCCTCAGTACTGTCTGTGAATGGATCGATAATGGTTGTGGTTCCTATCTGTGACACTGTCTCCCAAAGCCCTTAGCCAGAGCTGTTGAGACACCAGCTGCTCTTCAAGGTGATAGTGATATTAATAACAACGGATGTTGCTGGAAGCTGTTTTTGTCTCGAAGACACTTATCCTTCCCATGACAAAGGCTTGCTACTGAGTCTGCAAGAAGTTGTCGGATTTTTCCTGAGTTTTTTTTTCTTGCTGAACTGAAAAGTCTCAAGGGATCGGTATTATTTCGCTTGGATCAAGCCATTATGTTCACTCACCTGCTGGCTAGAAATGTACCTTTAATTCTAGAGACACATGGGACATGGAGAGCTTGAACAGAGCAGCTAACTAACAAGGATCCCCAAAGACCAATTAGTTCTGTGCTTCAATTTTAGCCCAGTAAAATAAATACTTTCTGGAAAGCGCATAAATACGGAGTTTAAGCAGCAGTGA